GATAGATAGATTTAGCGTTATTTATCTACATAAGATAAAAGATGACAAAAAATCTATTTAGATAAGTTATCTAGTTAAATTTATCTAGATAAGAATGAAAAGAGTTTTATTTAAATTAAATTATAAATTTACCCTACGAAATGAAAATTAATGTATTAAATTCAAAGGTAATATATTTAAAGTTTTATTTTTTCCTCAAGTGCAGTTATAGAAACATCTATTATAAGTTTTATGTATTATAATCATGCCCGGATTAAGGATCAATAGGGCCGGAAGATACCATTCACTTAGTGGGTCCCCTTTGAACTTGAATTTAAAAATAATTATATTATTATTTATAAGTTTATACTATACAAAAAATATATATATATATAAGACAGATAAATTAATGTGATAATTTAGGTATTATACACTCGATATATATATATATATATATATATATATATATATATATATATAAAGAGTACTTTATGGGTTACTCGAGCTATAAATTAATTTTTTTTTTTTCGAAAACGGTTTTGAAATATATTTTTGGGATAATCATGAGCCCTCAAAATCAGTGAGTCCCAGGACCATGCCTCCCTTGACCTCCCACTTAATTCGAGCTCGATTATAATCTGCAAAGATCTATGGATACGTTCTCGATATTAATACGATCGTTTATATGGTTTTTTTTTATGCCAGATGGAATATGACCAGCAAGAAGCTAAATTGGAAGCGAAGTTAATGAGTTTGAGCCAAAGGCAGTTATTGAATACTGTTTAAGCCGCCGATAATACATGATTTTGTAGGGTAGATACGTGATAATGGGTACAGCGTATATGACTAAACTACCTTCCTGTAATATAAACGTGTCAACACGAATTTACCGATTAAATATTCATTCGTAATAATAATCGTGCTTTTAAATGCAGCTGAGAAATAGTGATATAGAGTTTTATAGTAGTTACTATATGTTACGTTATCCATGTGTGTATTCATAAATTATTATTTTGCGTCAGTAATCCGGTAAAATTTGAGTTTCGAAAATAGTATCTAATTAGACTCATGGGATATTTAGGGATATACTCTGCGAGACGTATAGAAGACCATTGTAAAAGAACTTATAATAAAATTCGACAATTTTTGAGTCCAACACGAAATTATGAAAATTGTTTACTCATAGTTTTCATTTGAGTGACCATATTTTTGTGGTTATTTAATTTGAACTTTATATTTTAAAATAAAAAAAATAAAAATTCACAGTCCGAAATATTATATAAAATACTTAATGATACAATTTTTTTTTCGAGAGTCTTAATGTTTTTATCTATAACTATTTATAATTGCTAATAATTTAGAATATCTAAAAATATAGTACCCATTACACATTTGGGAGATACGTCTACCAATTTAATTAGTAAAATTTGGGAAAATTGAAGCAAATAGTAAATGGCACTATGGTTAGCTTTTGTTACTCTTGGCCTTTAATTATTTTGTCAAATTGAATATACTTGTACAGACACTTTAAAGCCTAGTAAGTATAATAAAGTATAATAAAATTATTCGATGCTTTGAAAACATTCGTGCTTGGATGTTTATTTTGTACGTATGTGATGGCGTTGATTAATTTGGACTGAAGGCATATAATTATACAAAAGTAATTCATTAAACGTCTGAATTATGTATGTATATATTAACATATTAACTAGGCAGTTTTTAATTTTTTTAATAATTTGTTGATTTTTATTTTTATTTAATTGAATACATTTTAATCTCAATATGCACAAAATGGCTATTTACTAGTCGTATTATATATTTATATATATAAATAATTCTAGGAACAAATACATTTTAAAAAAATACACTTTTTTAAATACATTATTCAACTGATTATAAAATCTATAATTTAACTGTAATAACAAAAAATAATAATAATAATAATTTAATATTAAATTTAAATATTCTTAGATAATGTAAAAACTTAAGTTACAATTTACGTAGTTAGAATATTGTTGATTTAAATCATATTTGTAACTAAAATAAAAAAAATATATATGAGATATAGTTTCAATGAAATATAAGTTCTTATTATAATAATAGAGTTTATATCTTATTATTTAATGGTCCTATATTGTATATGGATAGAATTTTTTTTTTTTTTCTAAGAGAATACCTTCATCAGAATAGAATATTAAGTATATGAAGATTAATTTTATATATTTAATAAACAATAAAAACAGTTAATATTAATATTTTATAATATATATTATTATTATGATTTAAATAAATTACTATATATCACATTCTTAAAACATTGGATACAATATTGTTTTTATGCACAATTCGCATACAATAAGATGGAGAGATTGTTCAAAGTATACACTTGGATTATTTTCTTAAAGTAGTGTGATACTATAAATAATAATTCAAGTGTAAATTATATACAATATAAAATCAACGATTGATTATAAACTACTAATATTCATTGATGTCGAAGCTTATTACTTTTTTTACTTTTTTGCCTTTATATATATATATATATATATATATATATATATATATTATAAGTAAATATAAAATAATGTATTATATTAAATTGAATCACTTATTCCAGAAACCCCCTAAATCTATTTTTATACATTTTGAAATAATCAATTAAAACTATATCACGGTTCTAAATTTTTTTTTTTAATTCCAAAAATTACTAAAATATACAATAATACTCTCTCTTTCAGATTATAGTGCAGTTTTAGTTCTTTGACATAGTGGAGGAAGGAAAAAATGTTTTTTGTAACTTACACATACGGGGTTTAAGCGGTAAATAACTTTACCGGGCACTGTTTTTTTAAATTGTTTTCTCCTAATTTAACCAAATGATTAATATGAGGTATAAATAATTAGAAAATAAGTTATAATAATAATATTGATCAAATTTTAATGAACAAAATTGTATTTTAAATTATTACTTTATTTTACATACTTCTAATTTTTCAGTGGTGTAAATAAAATGTTTAAATGTTGATATTTTAAATGATATTTAATTTTCTTTAGATTCCTCTACCAGACGTTTCGTCTGAAATATTGTTATTTTTATAAAAGATGGCCACCAGGTTTTAAAATTAAGGATTTCATTAGTTTGAACTTTATGCACAGAAAACCTTCTGCACTTGCTTGCTCTCAAAATAAGGTCAATGTACTGTTGTGGCGTGTATACACGGTCTGTCTTTTTCAACAGGCCCTTTATCGAGCCAAAATCACGATCGCAAGGCAGAAAAGAGTAGCCTCGTCTAGGAAAAAAGTGAACAATAGTTTCAAACCGGTGACTGTCACATAGATTTAGCAGAAACATCGAAAATGTGTAGTTCATATTTTGTCCCGCTGCTCTATCACTGAAAAGTAATAATTTCTTTGTACTATTTGGTACTTCATTCTGAATATAATGCCATAAAAATGAGAAAACTTCATCTGGCGATTTGTTTTGCTTCTCCTTCATGGTACACATTTGGTTTGGCATTGTTGTTTTTCAATTCGTGAATACAGAATACATTGACCCAAAGCTGACTCAAATAAAAAACTTCCTGGACAGGTATGTTTGGTAGTGGTAAACTCTGCATATAATTTAAGCATAATGCCGTAAGTGTTATCGTTAGTGTTTTCTATAGCGTTTTTTAATTCGACGTAGAAGTTTTTTGTTCTTCCCTTATGTATTATGAGTTCAGCTGCAACATTTCATTTAACATTATCACACAAATTCGAGGTTTTAATTTTCGTAACTAAAAATTTACATTGGCTACATCTGCTTGAGGGTGCACAAATGCTTAATAAAAATTTTCTTTGAAATAAGTATAGTAAAAATTATATTTAACAATACCTTCTAAATCTGGATGATCATTTATAAAAAACTTATGCATTTGTACAAAATCAAGTCGTGCATTCAAATATTGCTTCGGTTTCCCACCACAATGAGTCTATTTTACCTTACACCTCTGAACATGGTCGTACATTTTTCTACACATTTCTCCAGAGATTGCATTGCCACTACGATTCTTCTCTATAGTCCTCGGGTATCTTATTTTGTATAAGAATTCTACGTACATGATCTAATGATATGCCATGTAGTTTCATAAAAATATTCTTGCAAACAAGAAATAATGGACCTTGAATCTTAAGATAATATGTATAAGTGTGATTTATTTTAAATTGCATAGAAATTTCATTTACTTCATGATTTAACATACTTTCTTCCGATTTGTTTGTATCAGTAACAGGTTGGGACGGAAGAACGCGACGGTGTTTTATTGGTTTGCTCTCTATTAATGTCTGGAGATAGATATCTTGTACATTTTTGCTATTCATAGAATATAAATTATTCCAATGGAACTTCTTTCCAATTGTAGTTAACGTATCCTAAACCATGAACTCTGGTATTATGTATTATATTACGTTTATAAGTTTCTGAATGACGATACCTTTTATCCTCTTTACAGGTGGTTCCTGGTCAGATTCTGAAATAGACATGTTATAATATTCACCACGAAATTATATTTAAAATAAAATACGAACATACACCGTGAAACATAAACGTACAAAACACGCCGTGTCGTTAACTGACTAGTATGTTGTTTATAATATTAATGTGGTTTTCGTTTTAGTTATCAACAATAATAATATTTAGATATATTAGATATTTTCACTAAGAAACTAATATAAATATATTATTACAAACACAAAATTATTTATATATATTTTATCCATGTTATTTATATTATTAAATATTATCAATGAACGTTTAGCGCAGAAATCTACAATACGGCGGTGCTTAGTGGGTTTTTGAGATAAATGAATATTTCAAGGCTATAAGAAAGATGCAAGAAAACTAGTTATTTATGGGATTTCTGTAGTAAATAGTGGGCATATGTTAAAACTAAAAGTCAACGCGAAATAGTCGATTTTGATTTTAATGGTGTTTAGAGGCTTTTTGAAAAAAGCGATTCAATTAAATTAATATATTTTCACAGGTTCCATCAGCAACATAGACGACACTCAATATTTGCACTGCAACAAGTCTCAAGTAAGAAAAGTAATATCTGGCGTTGTCGGTGCTGCTTCAAGTGTTACATCTGTTCAAGTGGCGAATTTATTACGACTCTTCAAAATCCCTCAGGTAAATATTAATTAATTAAAAATTAATATTATTCTTTTCAAATACTAAAGATATGCATAGAATCTCTAATAATTTTTCAAGGTAAATATATTGAACTATTAATATTTATAGCGTATACCTATAGGTGTAAAATAAAATGTATATAGGTAATTTATAGTGTGTATATGTCGCATCCATTTCATGTTCTGACCCGTTTCGTGATATGGATAGAAATTGAACGAAACGGAACTTCTTTTTTACACATGGCGTAATTACACAATGTGGATTAATTTTCACGAAATGGACACTGATTTTTAGTAGTACGGAACTTTTTCGTAATTTGTACATACAAATGACGAAACAAATAATACGTGTATGATTTTTATCAATAAAAACAACTTGTTGTAAGAAACTTTTATAATAATTGTGGCATTTTAGGAAACTTTAGGTAAATTTATGTTGTAAATTATCAAAAAAAAAAAAAAAAAAAAAAATTAAAAATAATAAAATAATAATTATAACTTAAAACTATAATAAACTTTTAGGCGCATTTTTACGTTTCACATTTCCTCTTACAATTACAACAATGAAAACCTTACCCTCCTGTTGTTAAAGACATTAATTCACTTAGATTTAAATCTTTTACTTTATCTGATATGTTAATGAAATTATTTATAGCTAGTTGAAAAGTTGAGGAATTGAACATGCCTTACCTTAATCCGTGTTTGGTTCCAAGACGATTTAGCTCATTTTTTGTTCTGTGGCTATGACAATTATATTCACCGAGTCTGATGAACCTCCGTCTACCTAAATAAGTAATTACTATCTGCTAATAAGGTATCACAAGTATCACTGGTTATTCTGACTAGTTGTTTCTATTAATAAAAATCATACACGTATTATTTGTTTCTTAACATGTATGTATATGTTACCGGAAATGTTGACATTTTAGGAAAGGATGACAATTCCTAGGAAATGATATCATTGCCTAGGAATTGTCATCATTTCCGTAGTTTATTAGGCAATGTTATCACTCATTACTTTCTTACACGAAAGTATTGGAACTCATGATGTTACAAGTCATGTGGGACCGGCTTTACAATATAACTATTAGAACGATAACTAACTCGTAGCGGCGACATACTAAAACCCGTAATCGTCACCCGTCGATAAAATGGTTGTGTGGAAAATATCTATCGCATATCGCATATATTTATCGCAATCTTTATGTATTTTATTAAAATTGTCCCTAACCTGTACATGCAGTATACCACCTTTAGTAGTATGTTCTTCTTAGTACAGTACGTATTTATTATTTACACATTCAGTGCGTTTGTTAAAAATGGATCTCAATAAAATGCGAAATGAATTTAATAAAGCAATTTTATTACTAATTGGCGATAAGCGTGATGACAACAAATCGTTCAGGAATAATGAGGAATACGATCGTCGTATGGAAGATGTAAAACTATCCAAGATTAAAAAAAAATGCAAGAGAGATTATAGAAATATTCGTAAATACGATATTATTTTAATAAATGATAAAGAGCGCTTAATTAAGGCCATGAACCATGATAATGACGGTATACGTTATTACGTTAAAAACGAAGAGCTATTCGATATTCTTCACTCTACGCATATAGCTATCGGTCACGGTGGTCGCGACCGTATGATGGCTGAAATAAAATTATAGTATTGTAATATAACAAAAGAAACAATAATGATTTTTTTGAGTCTTTGTACCGACTGTCATAAAAAATCATCTAACCCAAAAAGAGGTCTTGTTTCTAAACCAATTTTGCATTCAGCATACAACTCACGTGCACAAATAGACCTAATTGATATGCAATCTCAATGTAAAACAAAATGCAAGACGAACAAGTGTGCTTGCAGATTGGCATCTAGAATTTGTAATTCTAATGTCATGGAGGTTTGCCATGTGAAAATAAAACTGAGTAACTACGAAAAATAAAATGTAAAATATAAAAATTGTGAAATTATAAAAATCAAATTGATAAAAAAAAAGTTAAAAAAAAACTACTCTATTTTATTATATTATTTTATTATTTTATTATAATATTAGTAATTAACATTTATATATAGTAAAATAATTATTTTAAGTCTAATTAAATCAAATTAAAAAAATAAATGGTATCACATGTATGAAAAAATATGGCATCATTGCCTGGAATTTTAAGGAAATGATAACATATACTAGGCAATGATATCATTTCCTTCCGCTATTAGGAATTGTCATCCTTTCCTAAATGTCAACATTTCCGGTAACATATACATTGCGAAACAAATTCCGTACTACTAAAAATCCGTGTCCATTTCGTGTAAATTTATCCACATTGTATAATTACGCGATGTGTAGAAATAGAAGTTCCGTTTCGTAAACTGGATGAAATTTCTATCCATTTCACGAAACGGATAAGAATGCGAAATGGATGCGACATATATACAATACGATTTATGTATTTTAAAGTACAGAAAAATGACTGGCTATTGATTTTTTGAAGATTATCTACATTACGTTGAAAACATTTTCATTCTAATAATATACATAAAACATTTAAAATGCAAATGCCAAAAAAATTGTTGTTTAATTGGCTTACATTTTTGTAAGCACGCAAAATTGTGTCAACTCGTTTAAACTTGTGGAATAATTAAATTATTAATTGATCAAAAAAAAGAGAAACAAAATACATTTAAAACAAATTATTATTATTTAAATTGAGCAATATGTACATTCGATTCATTGGATAGAAACCCTACTGAAAAATACTGTTGAGCATTTATTTCCATTCATTATAATATAGAAAAATAAATTACTAAACTGTTGCTCATGATTTATTCATACATTATTTCACGTGGAAATACTCAACGAGATAGTGTGAGTTAATAAATTGTATACATTAGATTATTTTTTTATACATCACATTATAACATAAGACTTCTAAGGGTCAGGTGGGGTAATTGTAAATGATTTTAAAAAAGTATTTTTTAAGCTGTGTTTATGACTGTTTACTTATACATAAATTGATTTTATTAGTGAATATCAATAATAGTAGACGGAATAAATATATTTCCAATACAATTTTGGTCAATTTAAAATCTCAAATCTAAAACAATTGCAATTTACATTTACCCCAGGCATTTACCATTACCTCTTTTGGGGTCAATGTAAATGAACATATTAAAGCCATAAGACAATCATCAAATTTTGTATGGGGCAAATGAAAATGAATATTTTTAAAAATAAAATAGTATTTTTTTTAATTGTATCCACCAAAATTTAAAATTCGGTGTAATTGTGAACAGAACACTTAAATTCAATGAAAAAACACAAGGGTAATTGTAAATAAATTTTTTTTTACTTTTTTGAATTATAACAGTCTTTTGTTTCTAACTTAATATTTAACATAGCACCAATTACTTTTTTAGTTTTATATTAAGTATAATATGCAACTGAGATCTTAAATTAAATGTACAATCTTTCTTCGTTTATTAAAATTATAAAAAAATAACTTTTTTTTGATAAGTTAACAGTTAGGTAACACTAAAAATTTAAACATTTGATAAACATAATAACTAATAAATAAAACTTACAACTAAATTACAATTTCGTTTTTCATTTACTTTGATAGAACCTTTAAATTTGTATACAACTTTTCTGCCTTTCATTATAATATTAGGATCTGTCAAAATTGCTTCAATCATTTCATAAGTTATAATACACATATCACCATCATTAATTGAAAACTATTCCAATACAATCTACTTTTTTCAGTCCTTGGATTACCACATCACGATCATCATCATCTACGCTTTGCATCAAACACACATATTTAAATTGTATTTTATTTCGATGCCCTCCTAAGAAATTAACCAATAAAAATTTTCTAGCTTTTATACTTTTCCACACAACAGTTTCACATTGTATTTCATTAATTTGTAAATCCTGTAAATCGTTATGCTTCTCTTCATAAAATAGCGTGTCACATGTCATATAAATTATTACAGTATCTTTAGCTTCATCAGATATTTCCACACATCGATTTTTTAAAGACCTCCCTCTTTTTCTACCAGTTCCAGCGTTTTTTTGTATTTTTTTAAGGTTTGCTTCTTTTAATCTTTCTAATACTTCTTATGTAGTTATAACTTCACCATATTGAGTTGTTTTGAGTCTTGGTACTACTTCAGTGTAGTTTGGCTCAGTACTTGTTGATTGCATTTCTATTAACTGTTTAGAAAAAATACTGATAATGTCCACAGGTTGTTTTGATTGTAACTCTTCCAATTCCAACATTAAGGTTTGGTTTCTACTACAAGTAGGACTGGTAGTAGGTACTCCCATTTCAAAATCGAAAAAAATAGGTGTTTCATTAGATATAACATCTTGGTTTATAGAACTAGTTGAAGTTAATTTCATGACAGATTCAAGAACACGAAGTGTTACATCAAATGTACACTTTTGATTGTAGGAAATTGTTGAAGGTATTATAATGTTTTTCTCTATCTCGTGCCTTAAGTACTCATTCAAATCTATAGGATCAAAATCCAACAAGGAAAATGTTGTTTTGTCAATAGAAAACACACCAGTACTTGTAAACTTCAGACCATAAACTGCCAAGTATTTCAGTAAATTTGGATATTGTAACTCTTCCAGGACCTTTACCTATGACTAATCTACCAAATTTAATTAATTTTTTTTCCCACAAAGTGTTTAGAGGACCGAACACACATTTATAAGATGGCTGTAATTTATCTGTGAGGTGACTTGGAAATTTAAACAAAATAATATTATTTTTTAGTGCAGTCTCAATAATTCTTACACTTATATGTGAAAAATGGCCATCATACAGCAACAAAGCTGTAGCCTTTGATTTAAAATTAATTTTTTTTTTGTTCCACATGTTTTACAAACACTATATTAAACCAATTGTAGAAAAGTGGTTCCTCCATCCACCCATTTTGCGAGACTCCATATGTAGTTCTTGGATATGCTTTCTCTGAGG